TATTATTATTATTATTATTATTATTATTATTATTATTATTATTATTATTATTATTATTATTATTATTATTATTATTATTATTATTATTATTATTAATTAGTTAAATATAGTAAAGTTTCTATATCGGTTTAGGGCTTATGTTACGTATTACCATTATTAACGGTCATGGACTAGTCAAGTTTGATTTAGGTGTCAGTATATGCCTGGTACACATTACAGGGTCGAAATCTCGCACACAACGCCATTATGGTTACAATCGCGACCATTCAACCAGCGCCAACGCTCCCTTCACGTCTCCTCCGCTTCTTCGCGAAATACCCACCCGTCCCAATCGCTCGCAAGCTCGCTGAGACCGGCGCTTATGAGAGCGCAGACTTGGACTTGGATAAATCAACAGTCTCGACAGAAACCACTTCTTTGGCATTCGATACAACAGCCCTTACGGCAACATCCTCCTGTAAGCATTCTCGTAAAGAGTGTGATGGCTCTCTTCCGTACCGCTCGCCCTTCGCACCGCAAAAAAACTTCGTGACAGGCAAATGGCGCGGTCCGATATATGGTCTCCGTCAACAGGCCGACATCTGCAAGCTAGCGCGGGCATATGAAGTGGAAGACTGGTTACCATGGAGTATTAAGAAACAGGGCGAGCGCGAGAAGCGGCGTATTGAGAGAGGGCTACAGGTACGAGGTACTGGTGTGGGTCAGAAGCCAAAAGGAAAGAAATGGGAGAGACAGTTGGGACCGAAGCTGGAGAAGAGGAGACAGGCAATGCTAGAGATGCCACAATTAATCAAGGAGTGGAGACTAGTAAGCTTCTTATTACTCGAGGATTTGTGCGAAGGTGTGCTAATAACAGTCGCAGGCTGGACGATCCAGAGGTTGGAAGAAGTGGCCGAAATAACCGTCGCATTTGTATCGCTCTTCCGACTGTAGTTTTATGCTGCGTCGTTGGCATTAGCACTGTAATGAGGTTTTTAGCACCATCGATGCGGTTTGATCAAGTGCGGCAACTGTGTTTATATAAGATCTACATATCCATTAAGAGCGGTATCACTGGGTGACACAACGAGTCATGAATTTTTAATAACCATAAGCAAACATGGTACTAAGAACAAGTCGATTATTACAAGCCACGATGTCTACTTCATGGCCTTCTCTGCCTCCATTTCATCGGTTACAAGATTGAATTCAATGGAAGCTTCCTTCTCTTCTAATGTCGGTCTCGAAGACAGTTTCTCTGTGGAGGACTCCTTAACAACTTTATTCGCGTCGTGACTTTCCATCTGCTTGTCACCCAAGATGTTTCGTATCTTGAAACTCTCTTCTTTTAGTAATTTACGCTCGCCGGGATTTTGCGGATTGGGGTAGACGTGACTATTGATAACTCTCGACTTCCTCGTCCAGCCAGTCTTGAACCTTTTTCCTAATTCAAAACGAGGTAATGGATGGGCTTCTGTGTTAAAGACGACTTGGTCAAGAGGAAGAATATCACCCTCTGAGAACAGGAGGTACATGTACTTGAGAGTTTCGGCCTATACTCAATCAGCTGTGATCTCGCTAGCAGTGAAACAATATGATGACACACCAGCCAGAATGATTCCATGTTATCGCGCATTATAGGCGGTGTCCGGGTCACATCCTGTATCGAACTAAATCCATTCCCATCATTAGTAATAGTGTATTGTACAAAGCTCTGGAACATTTCCCAGCCCCATTCTCTGTACTTAATATCACCAGTGATTCGCCACATGTAGAAAAGTGACTCAACGGTTTCGGGTCGCTGAAGGTTATGTCGGTCATTTTGGTGAATGTCAATATCTTGTCGCCAATCAGCGTCTTCGGAAGGATCCAAATTCTCCGGGGAATGTAGAACCTCATCATGCATCATCTTTGGGGGATCGTAGATGTTAAAGTAGACGATTTCTGGTGCTAGGCCTGTTTTAGTGTGCTTGTACATGGCCCAGCAGGTCTTCATTAGCTGTTTCGCAAGTTCAATATCATCTTCCTGCTGCTGTATCCAACCTATCTTCTTGGCTTCAGTGACATTCTTTCCACCAGTGGCTCCTAGAGCGATGGCACTGGGCATAAAGCACACTAGGTGGTCCATTTTAGGTGTCAAGGCACCTCCGAGTCCGTTCTGGCGCTCTCCCAATACGGTAAGATTTGAGGGATAGGAATATGTAATCAGATGTTTGCGAATGCCACGCATGGCTTCATCCCACATATCCAAATATATAGGCTCCTGGTTCGAGGTCTGATGGTACTGTTTGATGAGATACTCTTATCGTCAATCAGTCAAGTGATACCAAGTCGCTATCCCCTTCATGCTACATACCATAATAGGAATCTCCACGGCTCCCAAGACGGATATTTTCACCATAAAAAGCCCCTCGGTCTGGGTTGACAAAAATCGGGACGAGGCCATCCTTGGCCCCGATATCGTCGACTGCTCTCATGACTTCCTCAGTCTTCTCCCAGTAGCTTTCTTCGCCAGTCAACTTAGCAAGGTACTTCATTTCTAGCTGGAGTGTCGTGGCTTCAGCCGTTGATGACGAGCCTCCGTCGACATGAGAATGAATGCCTTTCATAGTGTGCAAGTTGACACTCGCATACGGAATTCCCGTGGGTGAGTCATATGCTCCAAGCAGTCTATCCGCTAGATCCGTAGCTTTTTCCAGATATAGATCATCCTCATCTTCTCCTTCCGCTAGCGTTATTGGCGCCATATTCGGAAATTGACTAGATAGATAGTGCGCTGACAGCAGGCCCCCGAGCATTCGTATCGTCGTTTCGAAGGTGTTGACATCATGGTCAATGTCGTAGTTAAGAGTCGTAGATATCCATTCCCTCGCGTGAGTGAGTTCTGTCGTAAGATTCATCAGAATTAAAGTATCAAGTGCATCCACGATGATCCACCCTAAGCCATTACCGGCCATCTGACGACCGTGTTTTGCGATCGGTTGGAATTCGTCATACCCTACGTCCGATTCAGTCAGTATTGTACAGGTCTCCTAGTCTGATATACCGCTTACCCCAGCCATGTTCCTCGTACGCAGACCAACTGAGCTTGAAAGCGTCCTTGACCCTTTCTCTCCTCCAATCCCAATCGACTTTCTCGGGTGCACCCCAAAAAGTCCATGAGCTCTGACCTTTATTCTTCTTGTCCTGGGGCTCTTTACTAGCTTTACCCAGCCATCCCGTCTGGTAGAAGAATGTTATGGACAGAAGCGCCCCTATTCCAAGGGTCATCTGTTTCTTCCACCAGGGGTTCCATCTCCTTGTTCCATACCGTGAGTGAAATGGTTTGTCTTTATACATAGGCAGCCTGTCTTTATTGTTGCCGAACACTTCTCCGATTTTGCCCGCTACACCATCCGTAGTATTGGAGTGACGTGATCGTTGCGAGGTTCCCCATGCAGCGCCTTCGTATTGAATCCTACCAGGATCGCGACGCGGACTCGCAAATGAAAGTGAATCTGACATTCATTCCATAGCCTCGGCGGTGGATGAGTCTTTTTCAGGTGCGACGTCGGCGAAGGCCTAGGTTATTATGCTTCTGAGAGTGTTAGACGCGGAGTTACGGAGGTGACTGAGAGGTGATCCGTCCTTTTTCTTACAACCTGAAGAGCTTGGCACTTGTGCGTGTACTTACCTCTGTTTCCATTCTAGAGCTATTTAATTATTAGAATTCTATTACTCTATATATATTATTTATAATAAACTATATAAAAAAACTTTTTATACTCTAAGGGACTAAAACTAGTTAATTTAGAGTAATATAGTAATCTATATATATTAATTAATAGAGTATACTAAGTATAATAACTTTTAATATATATATATAGTATATAATATATAATAGTACTAATATATAGAGATACTATATATATACTTAAAAACTCTTTAGAGTAGTAAGTATAGACTACTACTAATAAATACTAATATACTAACTCTCTTTTATTAGTTAAGAGTAGTCTAGAACTAATAATTATAGTAGTCTTAGATACTAATATACTCTAGCTTCTACTAGGTATATCTCTACTACTAGTATAATAGAAATAACTATATAATAGTATATTCTAGAATAACTAAACTACTATCTAGAAAATAAAGAATAACTAAGAGTATAAAATATTATAAATAACTAAGATAGAGAGAACTCTACTTAGAGATACCCTTATAAATAAGATTAAATACTAGATAATATATATAGAAATAGAGATTAAAAAGAAAGAAACTATCTTTCTTAATATCTTCTAGAGTCTAGTCTAGAATATCTAAGAACTTATTATAGAAATAAAGTAGATACTAGAGTTAAACCTAGAATCTAGACTAGACTAGATTAAGACTAGTCTATTAAAGATCTAGATAAATCTTATCTAGAAAAAATACTCTAGTATATAGATATAAATTACTATACTAATAGATAGAGCTACGAAGTCTTACGAACCGTGTCCACGTTATTATAGCTAGGTAATGCCTCTTCGGAGGTAGTAAGAGGTTCGGAGCGGCGTTAATAGTGACCTCGTCGTTACTAGATAGGTAGTTATAGAGTTTTCGCGACGTATTACTCTATAGAGACTACACCGTAATAAACTAGCTAGGATAGTATATACTTCTATCCTATTCTTAATTAACACGTTAAGAGAAGTCTATAAGGATACTAGAATAAGAAAACTATCTAACGTACTACTACTATATCGAAAGTAGGCCTAAATCTACCTTACTATATAGGTAGAGAAAGCGGAAGTCCTAGTAGCGTGATAGGATACCTTAAGGCTTAAATGGCTCTAGGTACGTAAGGATTAGTAAGAAATCACGTTAAGGGTAACTATAAACTACTACGGATGAACTTATTAAGGCTAACTCTCCTATAGTATTAAACTACGTTTATTAAGACGCCTAGCGCGACTACTAGTAGCGCGACTCTATTAAGACCTTTCGCTTAATATAGGATACTACTTAGGTCTAGAATAGATAGAGCGGCTCCCGCGTATAAGAGATATTATAGTCTACTATAGAAGATAGGGCGCTAGTATATATAGATAATAGTATACGGATATAGATAAGAGGCGGCTATAGAGATCTATTAAAAAGTAGTAGAAATAAGTCGGGTTAGTAGATAGAGAATACTTAAGTCGCCTAGGCGTATTACGTAAGTATACACGTATAGAATTTAAAGGATACTCGTCTATAAGATACGGTCGGCCTATTATAGAGAGATTCTTATAGGTAATATAAAACTAGATAGTAGCTATACTTAAAGGCGGGGCGTGGTATATAGTAGTAACTACTAGCTCTAAGGACCTTACCCCTTTAATAGACTCTAACCTTTAGTATATCTAGAAGTAGGCGGGATCACGTCCTAGCTAGGGAGACTACTATATAGTCTAAGAGAATAGATACATGTGTTAATTTATAAAGAGATAGAACGTATCGCTAGACACGCACGCTAGTAATATAAGTTTAAGGAGTAAACCTCGTAGTTTCCTAGCTAGATAAGGCGTTATGCCCCTCTTCTAGTAGAGCTAGAGGTATAAGTCTAAAGGGGATAAGATAAGGCGAAAATAGGAGTAGGGCCTAATGGTATAGGGCACGTTAAACCTATAGGAGTTATCTAACTTCGAACTAGAGGCCCGAATAACAAGGTACCCGGACCGGATAGAATACCGAATAGGTACCTTAAACGTACTATACTAGCTACCCTACCGCTTATTAGTTATATATTTCAAGTATATATTAAGAATGGATACCACCCCTAAAGCTTCCGGGCCGTCTATACTATTATACTCCCGAAACTAGGGAAGAACCCTAGCTCCCTAAAAGGATAGAGGCTAATTACCCTCCTCTTCTATCTCGGGAAGATACTAGAGGCCATGATCGCGAAGAAGATAAGCGCCGTAGTATAGGAATATAACCTCCTCCTAGTAAACCAGAAGGCGAAGACTAGAAGCTCCCTAATTACCGCTATCTAATATATCCTCGAAGTTGTCTAGACCGTATAGAAGTAGGGACGTGTAGTAATACTACTCTCCCTTAATATAGCCGGCGTATTTAATAAAGTAAACCATACGAGACTTATCTATAACTTACGGAAGAGGCGTATACCCGCGGAGATTACGCGGTTTATATAGTCCTTCCTTACCGAAAGAGTTACCTAGATATATATCCCCGGATATTAAAGTAAGTATAAGAAGATAGCTTACGGCATCCCATAAGGAAGTACTATCTTCTCGATTCTCTTTCTCTTCTTTACTATAGACCTTCTCTAGAGAATATAATATATAGAGATAGTAGGATATATAGACGATATATACCTTCTAGCTATTAATAATAATACTAGCTAAATATATAGACGACTCGAATAAGACCACGGGAGATACATCTAATAGGCAAAGCGCCACGGAGTAAAGTTCGCCCCCGAAAAGTACTAACTTATATACTTTATTAACCGCTATAGGAAATGGGCTACTAGAGAAGGCGAGTAACGCCCTAGAATAGACGCCTTTAACGAACCGCCGATATAAAGTATACACGTACTCGGCGTTATAATCGATAATAAGCTTAAATAGGGACCATAGGTAGTATACGCCGTTTCTAGGGCCCTCTAGATAGAAGCCGCTATACGCCGGATTATAGCCTTTACGTAGGGAACCGCCCGGGATAAGGCACGCTAGCTATATATATCTATAGTACGACCCGCCTTCACGTACGGACACGAGTACTAGTATATAGCCCTTATATAGACTAGGCGAATAAAGCTCGAATCCATATAGAACCGTATACTCCGTCTTATATTAGGCATATATAAAGCTACTAATACGGTACTACTACGACGCGAGATAGACGTTATAAGTATATATAACTTCTACTAGATATAGAGGGTAGTATACTTTACTAAATAATAAGTATAGAAATATATAGAAAATATAGAATATACCTTCGCCGCGCTACGCGCGCGAGTTAGTATATACTACTAAGTACTCTTATATATAGGCCGGACTTAACTATAGTATAAGTACCCGATAGAAATAGACTCGAACTAAGTAGTATAAGAGATTAAGAATAATCTAGATACCCTTCTAGACTAATAGAGCCTTCGAGAGCTTGGACGAAGTATATAGTTATAGATCTAAGATAAGTAGAAAGAGATACTCTAGGCCTAGTAGGCCTTCTAGTAGAATAGGTACCTAGAGTAGATCTAAGGACTATAGAAGGAGCCGAGTAAATAGATATATAAAGGGCTTATAAAGGCCTAGGCATCTATACTCCTCTAAGCCCGAATAGACGCTATAGAACTTCTATACTACCTCTATAAGAGAGGCGTCTCTAACGTGTCTCTATAGTATAAGGCGTGCGGCCGGAGAGGTATAATACGCTACTATCTTATAATATACCCTAATCTTTATACGTAAAGGTAGAAGCTCATCTATATAATAAGAACCTCTAATATTATATAATGGCTTAATAAGTACCCTAAGGACGTCGCCTAGTAGATAATTATATACCTACTACTCCTCTAATTCTAGTAGACCTAGAAATATATACTAGAAGAAACCCGGTATATATTGGAGGAAACCCGGTATATACCGGAAGAACCCCTTAACTAATAACCTCCGCACCTACACGTGCTATCTAAGGGTAAAATAACGGTAATATAGGCTATAGGCTAATAGGCGTACCCTATAGCTATATACTTAAGACGAAATAAAGGTTTAACGAGATGTAGTTATAGATATAAGGAAGTTTTTCCCTATGGGGTTTCTTCTTATATAGTAGCCTAGACTAGAGGAGGTATAGGCCTGTAGAGTACTACTCTACCTAGTTATATAATATTATTATTATTATTATTATACTAATAGATAGTATAACTAGAATAATTTAAATACTAAGAATATCTAAAAGAGAAGTATATAATATATAAATTATTATCTAGAATAAAAAAGTACTTATATATATAAGTTTTATATATATAATAACCTTATAATCTATTATATATAATATATAAGTTATATAGAATAAGAGTCTAGCTCTACTCTATTCTATTCTATAGAAGTACGTTCTCTAGTATTCTATAGAAGAGTTCTAGTTCTACTCTACTCTAGAGCTATTCTATCTCTACTCTACTCTAGAGGTAACTAGCTCTATTCTACTCTAGAGACTAGACTAGACTCTATAACTTCCTTAGAGACTATAGACTAGGAGACTTATATTAATATAAGCTAGTACTAGCTTATATTAGATTAAGTAGGAATCGGAAGTACATGGATAGAGATAATATATTAATTAAATATATTAACTCTTAGCGTACTAAAATGGACTAAATCGGATAGTTATAGAATACTATTAGTATTTAGTATACCATTTAATATATATTATTAATTCTTAATAATAACGTACGTAAATTATATATATATAGACCTTCCTATAGCCATAGATAGTCGTCTCTTTAAGCCTTTTAATTAAATATACTTTATATACTA